CTCCTTGCGTCTGATAATCACAGATATGCCCTTATCTGCAAGCCCACTGCTACCGGACTCTTGCAAACATACCCTAGTAAGTGTACGTCACTCAGAAGTCAACAGTCAGATCTCCAGCTTTTACGCACTGCACATGGCACACCCACAGACACTGACAGTGACCAGGGAACTCATTTTACTCACCATGAAGTACAGGAGTGGGCTGACTAGATGAGTGTTGCCTGGAATTTTCATTTCCCCTACAATCCCACAGCAGATTATCTCATAGAAGACATGAAAGGAGCGCTGAGACAAACTTTGAAATACAAGACCCATTACTTATGCTTCCAGACACAAGGGATCCTTTTTCTGAAGCCACAGACCAGTAAGAGAGACATACTGCAATATCCAAGGCACTTTATAAAATTGGAGATCTGGGAGGAGCGAGGTATCCCTTAAAAACTGCCTCCCATCTAAAGAAGATTGTTGACTTTTATACTTGGTTTAGGTGGCCTAGTGGCAAGAAGCTGTGCTGTAATTCCAAAGGTATGCTGTTTGAGGCCACCAGCTGCCTCAGGAAAAGATGGGCACTCTCCTCCCCTGCAATTATCTGCCTCTTGAAACCCACTGGAGGGTCAGCTATGGGTCCGTTCTGACTGTATGGTACACAACAACTAATTTTCTTAATGTAATACTATCTCTAGTTCAAAGTTACATTCCAAGGAGTAGTTTTGCATACAGTTTTTAGTAAACAGACAACTTAAGACACAGTTCACACATGGCAAAGTAATACAATTTTCCCAGGGCTTTTACATTTGAAAGAGTAGGTGGCATAGTTTCTAGTAAACAGACGATTTAAAGTAATTTGCATGACAATTGTAGTTGTTATAAGACCAGTGAATCACGTGAGACTCATAGAGACCTTATGGACAACAGCTCTGAATCCTGCTCTATCCTGAGCCAACCTTATTGTCTCTGACACACCTACCCCCACTACCCTAGTCACTGAGTCAATCCATCTCATCCAGGGGCATCCTCTCCTGCGCTGTCCCTCCTCCCTCCCAAGCATGATGTCTCTCTCCAATGGCTGGTCCCTCCTTGCAACATGTCCAGAGTATGTTAGACAGAGCTTCAGAATCATCGCCTCCAAGCAGCAACCTGATTTCACTCTCTAGGATGAATCTGTTTGTTCTCTTAGCAGTCCATGGTATATTCAATACTCTCCTCCAGCACCACAGCTCAGAGGCATCAATTCTCCTTCTGTCATCCCTAGTTATTGTTCAGCTTTCTGATGCATAGCAAGTAATTATGAAGACCCTGGTCTGAATCAGGGACACCTTAGTCTCCAGACTACAGAGAAGTTGAAATGGGATCGGAGGACAAAACAAATGTTAATTAGATGGCTCAACCAGTTTTGCAGGCTGGAAACATAGGATGACAGAAATGAACTTAGTTTTAAAACAATCCTGAACTGGTGGCAAGGAGGTGCGCTGCAATCCTGAAGGCACATGGTTCAAATCCATCAGCTGCTCCAAAGTAAAAGGATGGGCAATCTCCCGTGTGATTAACTGCCTCTTAAAACCTGCCAAAGGGTCTGCAATGGGTCAGTTCCGACTCAGCTATGGGTCTGTTTTGACACTAGGGTGCACAGTATCTCTTACAGCAATGGACCAGGAGCCCTCTGAGGCATCCATGAGGGTTTGAGTATCCTCAACAGTCACCTAAGCACGTACCAGCTGCAAGGGTCCCAGAGGCAATAAGGATGTAGGTAACTGCAGCCAAGGACAAGGTACTATCCTAACTCAGACGATATAATAATATTTTGTTGCCTTTTGCCCTAGGACTTTCCACTAGGACAGACAGTTGTTATCTCCCCTAGAAACTGGAAAAACAGCCCCTGATGATTTGGCTTTTGGGCTCACAGGGCAAGAGACAGGTTTTCAAGCTACTCCCTTGATTTTATCAACACCTCCAAAATCTCGCCTTATTTATAACCCCAGTAAGAGCTCCATATCTCAGGGGTCACTGATATGAAGTGTATGGAGCATAATATTTCTGAAGATCATACAAAACTGGCTAGAACAGTACATAGAGAACTGCCAGAAGTTAGAGCTGGATTTAGAAGAGGCCGTGGCACCAGGGATATCATTGCTGATGTCAGACGGATCCTGGCTGAAAGCAAAGAATACCAGAAAATGTCTATTTGTGTTTTATTGACTATGCAAAGGCTTTTGACTCTGTGGATCATAACAAATTATGACTAAGATTGGGAAGAATGGGAATCCCAGAACACATGATTGTGCCCATGTGAAGAAACTTTTATACCTAGTCCAAGAGGCTGTGGGTGAACAGAGCAAGGGAACACTGCATGGTTTAAAATTAAGAAAGGTGTACATCAGCTTTGTATCCTTTTTCCACATCTATGTAAACTGTATACTGAGCAAATTGTTCAAGAAATTAGACTTTATTGAAGAAGAATATGGCATCAGGATCTGTGGTATTGGAGAAGAGTGCTGAATATCCCATGGATTGACAAAAGAATAGATATGTTTTGGAGGACGCGTGGCCAGAGGGCTCCTTGGAAGCAAAAATAACAAAGCTTTGTCTCACATATATTAAGCATGTTGCTGGGAGAGGCTATTCCGTGGAGAAGGACATCGTGCTTGGAAAGGTGGAGTGTGAGTAAAAGAGAGGAAGACCCCGAATCAGATGGGTTGACAGTCACTGCAGCAATGGGCTCGAGTATGTCAAAGATTGTGAAGATGGTACAGGTTAGGGCAGGTATCAGGTCTGTTGTTCACAGGGTCCCTATGGGTCGTACTTGATTTGATGGCCCCTAACAACAACGACGACGACGATGATGATGATGATGATGATTATACCCTTGTGGCTTAATGGTAAGGAATTTTTTCTGCCAGCACAAAGGTATGCAGTTAAAATCGACCAGCCGTTTTGTGGCAGAAAGATGGGTAATCTTCCATGTGATTTACTGCCTCTGAAAACCCACTGGAGGGTCAGCTATGGGTCGGTTCAAGCTGAATGGTATAAAACAACAATTATTATGACTAATACTAAAAGGTTAATGGTAATAAAATGTTGTCATTAGGTGTCATCTTGTTGTCTCTGACTCCTAGTGACTACATGAATAACAGCTCAAACCTCGCCCTATGCTGCTCCCTCATTTGCTTGAGCCTGTTGTTACAATAATTGTGTCAATCTTCATCTTGTTAAGTGTCTTCCTCTCTTTTTCAAATTCTCTGCCTTTCCCATCATGATAAGACTCCAAGGACTGGCCCTTTCTGACATCATGCCCAAAATACGTGAGACAAAGTTTCATCACTCATGCCTTTAAGGAACGCCCTGGCTGCCCTCCCTCCAAAACACTTCTTGTTCCTTTGGTAGTCCAAGAGATTTTCTGGGACTTTCCCCTAACACCACAATTCAAAGGCGTTGTTTCTTTTGTCATCCTTAGACTCTGAGCAACTTTCATCCAGATGCACAGGAAGTAACTAAAAAGACCATGACTTGGATCAGGTGTACCTTAGTTTTTAAACTGATATCGTTGGTCTTTAGCACTTTGGAGTCGTCCATCGGCAGCATATTTTCCCAGTGCAGCACATCTTTTGATCCCTTGACTGCCATTGCCATGTGTGTTGAATGTGGATCCAAGTAAAATAAAATCATAGACAACTTTAATCTTACAGTGTTTACTATTGATCTTTTGGTGAAGATTTTTTTTTCCTGTTGTGTACCATCAAATTGGATCTGACTGGCACAGGAGATTGCCTCTCCTTCCCCAGGGGAGCATCTGGTGGATTCGAAGATTTTTGTTTTCTTGATGTTGAGCTGTAACCCATATCAAAATAGAATAATTATAAGTAAGATTAGGACTATTTGAACATAGCACTGTGATTTGGTGACGGTCAATCTGATATCTGGGACAGCTGTCCAGTCTATGCAGTGTGAACACTCCGGAACAAAAGATAATTCACATCCCGAGCTGCTCAAAATGGCGCACAATTTAAAACGTAGCCATTTTTATTTCTGTAAAGTTCCGTTTCATATTTTTGGACTGTGGTTGAGCATGGGTAGCTGAAACCATGGAAGGTTAAATGGCAGGTAAGGTTGTCTTACCAAGTGCTCCTATAATAAAGATAATTTAAGGAAAAGAAATGCACTCTTTATAGTAGTGGTGGCCAGAAGTCCAAATCCCGAGTGCTGGCTCTGGTAGAATCCTGTTGTTGTACCATGGAGATGGTCATGTATTGGCCTTTCCCAGGGCCAAAGGGTTATCTCCTTTGGAAACCCAGGTCCAAAAAGACACTCTCTACTCCTGGAAATTCTCAACGGCAGCAAGGTTCTCCCTTCCCATTTGCTCCCTTTCCTCTTCTTTCATTTCTAGTGAGAAAAAAAGACAACTGTGGGCCACACAGAATTAAGGGATGCTGCATGCTGAACTTAATTATTTTACAATTCTTTGATTTATCAGAGAATAATGATCATAAGGGATCAACACATAGCTTCTATATTATATATTATTGTATTATATTAAATAGATTATATATTACATCGATACATATACTGGGGGACACAATTCCATCCAGGATATATATATACTGGGGGACACAATTCCATCCAGTACTATGTGCTTCTGTCTGATTTATAAATGGGGATCCTCTCTGAGGATCAGAGAGAAAATGTGCTGAAGGTTGAGTAGCTATTATAGTGAGACAACTGGGATTTGAACCCAGAGTGTCTGAGGACAAAGCCATCCTCTGCTCCTGTGTAGTACTTTTCCTAAAGAGAAGGTAGGAGACCCAGCAACACTTGGGTTTTACGTGCTTCTGGAAGCCCTGGAAAGGACAGCTGTTCTGAGCGGAACCCTAAGGGCAGGCGAAGCTCTAGCCCCACCCCTTATGAACAACAGAGGCCCTAGAAACCAGGACAAGTTCTGTGTGTATTGGAGACTCATCATATCCCAGCCCCTGGCCAGGGAAAGCGGGCAGCCAGCTTGTTGAATAATGGATAAGCACAGTGAGTTGGGCTGGAGGCAGGCAGGGCTAAGAACATGGCTTCTTTTTAAAGAACTTACTGTGAATTGAGTGAAGGTTTCCAGAGCCTACCAGCTTTCCATTCAACAATTCATACATGTTTTGTTTCATGTCATTGATTGCAACCCCCTCATTGCGCGGCCAATCCAAAGGCGCAGGGTTTGGATCCACCAGCTGCTCCATGTGAGGATAGGCAATCTCCTCCCGTGCAATTTCCATCCAGCTTTTGAAAACCCATTGAAGGGTCAGCTGTCGGTCTGTTCCTTCATTCCTTCAGTGGTACACGATGACAATGTCCCACTTCCTGTGGTTTTAATTTCCATTCCTCCTTTCCTATCCCTTCTTGCCTTCTGAACTTTGGCCCTCTTTACAGAAGCAGCAGGTTGCCATATTGCAGAGTGGCTGGGTTCAAACTGTAAGCCTTTCAGTTAACACTCTATCAGCCGTTGTGCCACGAGAGCACCTCATATTGGGGGGAGGGGAGAAAAATCTCACTGTGTAGAGTTCACTCTGACACAGTGATGCTGTAGGACGGAATTGTTACTGGTGGTGTTGTGTGTTGTTGGTAAACTACAACTCATGGCAACCCTATGAGCAACAGCTCTGAACCCTGCGCTATCCTGAGCCAATTGCTCCATCTCTGACACACCTGCCCCACTGCCTCCTTCTAACGAGTCTTGTAGGTTAAATGTTGGGCAGCAGTTTGAGCCCACCAACCGCTCTGTGGTAGGATGAGGCAATCCCCCAGAAAGGCTCAGCACGAGTCAAAATTGACTGGACAGCAAATGGACAACTCTACTCTGTCCATATAAGAAGGTACTAAAATGTCATTATCACTGAGTGGGAAGCAACTCAGAGCTGACTCTCCAGTGGCTTTTCAGAGGCTATATAAATCACATCCTGACGCTGCTAATTGGTCCAGTGGCGAGAATCTTTGTCTTCTTGACATTGAGCCTTAGTCCATACTGCAGTCCTTGACCCTTCGCAGCAAGTGCATGAGGTCCTCCTCAGTTTCAGCAAGCA